GCCAGAAACTTGTGGAGCAATGCCCCTGAAAGCCACTAGAGATTCCTGGATCACAACAGCCACCCCTCCTCCCCTGCCCTGGCCTCTCGCCAAGAACCCGGCTGGGCACACTTCTGAGAGGGTTACCCCCCCTCGGGCCCCAGCCAGGTCTCAGTAATGCATGCCAGGTCAGCCCCCTCCCCGGTGATCAAGTCACATATGAGGGAGGCCTAGTTATTAACCGACCTGGCATTAAGCAGCAGCAGCTGAATTTATGCACTTTATTTATTTTATATATTATATATATTATATATTATATATTAAATTTATGCACTTGAGAGGCTTTACTCAAAACTGAAATAAATATAAGTTATAAAGGATACTGTCATTGAAAAATACATGGAAAATACTGTAGAATGTAAAGAATATCAGATGGATTTATCAGATACAAATAAATGCACATTACTTTTTTCAATATAAAGGCTAATTAAATACACTGATAAACCTATATCAAAATCTTTTTTTTAAAATGTGAAACTCTTGTGAGTAGACAAAAAATTGTGCAAACTCTAGCAAGGTAGAGTGGCTTTGGGTCCTCAAATCAACTAACTCTGGGAGAATACCGAATCTAACTCTTAAATGGATTACAGATAGTCCTTGTTTAGCAACAGCTTTGTTTAGCGACCACAGTTATGCCACTGATGAAAAAGTAACTTTAAGACCAATCCTCACATTTATGACCTTTGCAGGTCTGTAAAGCAAAGGAAAGCTAACGTAAGATCATAAGCACAGTTGCGGTTTTGTTTACCAACCAAGTTGGCAGTCCCAATTGTGGTCGCTAATCGAGAACTATCTGTCTGCTTCCATTTCCTGTTGGAACAGCAGATGGAAACCATGGCTAATAGGGCCTTCACCCAGCTTTCACTGGTGTGTCAATTGTGACTAGGAGAACCCAGTATTATCATATAACTTTAATATAGCAGGAGATGCATTGACTGCTGGTTCATTTCCAAGCACAATTCAAGGCATTGGTCACCACCTTGAAGGCCCTACATTGCTCAGAATCTGGCTATCTCTGATACC